AACGCCACAATACAGTGAACCAAAGTATTGGGCTCCTTTCTTTTTGATGGGTGATGATGTGACGATCCAGTTGGCATAACAACCCAATGAGGATGATCATTGGACAAGTATCTAATTCCCCTAATTCACTATGACGTCACTACTTGTTTATGTGGAGGATAGAATCGCCAAATCCAATAGAAAGTTCGACAAAATTTGCTCCTAGCGAAACAGTATGATCTAAAATGGCCTGGTTTTCAGATATAATATGTGTTAACATGTACTAAAAAATATTCTGTGCGTTTGCTGGCTATTCTACTTCTCTTCGTGGATTGATACGGGTTTTAGAACAATTTTCGGTGGATTTGCGTTGATTTAACCCCCTCCGACGACCATGATCCTTTGCGTTTAAACAACAGATTGTTTTGATGTGACGTCATAGTGAAATAGGGCAATTCAGAGACTGATTTTTACTCTGGACATTTTGAATGAAATAATTAGACAAGTTGGACAAGTATCCAATTCACTCAGGACAAGTATTCAATTCAGAGACAGCAGTCCACAGTTTCTAGTTGAGCTGGCTCATATTCGACTTGAAGTTGTGAAAGGCCCATTGGCACTCTTCTTCAGTCGTTTCATATAAAGCTCGTAACTTACCTATTGTTCTTATACAATTCAGAGACTGATTTTTACTCTGGACATTTTTGAGTAAAATAATTAGAAAATTAGCAAGTTCATTTTTTTGAAAAGTAGCAGTTTTATTCAGTATGCATTCCTTGCAAAACCCATTTAAGTTGCGAGGGGCATAGGTCAAGGTCACGATAGCAAGGTCGATTCGGGGGAAAAAGGTAAATTAACAAGATTATTGCATTGCTGTTACGTAATTTTCGTCTTGTGTTATCTTGATATGAGTACCTCGACAACAAAAGGGTTTTGTCACTGTATATGTTTCAAATATTCCAAATCAGTGTAACTCGAGTTCATATAGACCCCTTTCACCGAGTCCCGAGAGGAATTGTTCTGGGGGACAAAACAATGGATTTTTTTTGCAAGAAAAGACTGCCTATTGTTTTGTCCCCTAGAACGATTCCTCTAGGAAATCAATGCAAGGGACCATCTATACAGCACCTACAGTCTTGGAAAAAACCTGTAGAGGAAATCACTCATATTGATAAAATACAACAAATTTGGTTTTTGCCCTCTAAATATTAAATACCCCCCTCTAGATCTCCCCTTAAGAAATGTTGCTCTGCAAATGATCGAGGGTGAATGTTATACGGGACCAACATTGCTGTGGGGGGAGGGGTTGTTTTTAATGGTCAAAATATCTAAAAACAAACCACAAATATCGTAAGACATTTTATAGATTCTCTAACCGTTTGTCGAACATCGGTCTCCATACAAGACTTAACTCTATTGATGGGTCACCCTACAGTAATGTAACCAATATTATTGCTACTGTATATGATATATTTAGTGTGATTTAATCTAGAGCCTTATATAGCACCTACAGTCTAGGACACAGACCTTGATTACAATAGTTAACAATATTGATGGGTCACCCATTAATAGTTAACAGTACGTGTGATTAATAGTGAATGACATGTTACTGTGAAGGTGAAAGGGACGGAAGAAGGTTTGTACCTTATCAAACACTGGTCTACACTGGTCATATTTGGCCTGGCGCTAATGGGGGGGGGGGGGGCTGAGCCACAAGGCTCTTCCCCTACTTAGCGCCACCTCTCCCTCCCCTCCCCCGTGTTTAACAACGTTAATTTAATCTAGTGCTTTTCATATACATAAAATTGTGACTAAAACAAAGTTGACTGCTGTGCGCAAGCCAGTTAAATAGTGCTTCGGGTTTGTATTTTTAGTACTATTTAGTTGACCTTGTTATTATTAAACTGGTCAAAACAATAGGAAATTCAGAGCTACACTCTATTGCCTGAGTTCTATCATATTTTTCTGTGGCGGCTTAACTAATTGTTACGTAATCACCGTTCTCCTCTGTCATACTCCTTATCCCCCCCTCCCCCCACCCCCCCGCCGGCTATATAACTTTTGTCACCAAGTAATCTTGGTACACATAGAAAAAAAGAAAAAGAAGAAGAAGAGAACAATGCAACTAGTACTTTCAAGTAGTTGAAATTTATTTTATATCTAAAATTTATTCTATATCTAGCTCTGAATATATCTTCTGTGCACGTTACGTCATCGCGGCCTCTCGGGGGAGCGTTGGTGCCATATGACAAAAGATTTACATACATACTTAATCTTTATTTAAACACGGATGTCTCATCATACAAAATGCTCTTCCTAAGAGCCGTGTTAAAACTTATGATAGAATAATAAATATAAATTGTATAACTAGAAATATCAAAAATTAGCATCCATTGCTAACGGCACCGCAATGGCCGCCATGTCTTTTAACTCTCTTGGGAATGCTTGCAACCATCAATTCAAGCAATGTTCTGAAAGACGTCATGTAACCAGTTGTTACGTTGTGTAACTTCGCTTGTCAGCTCACGTGTGCACGTTGTTGTTCATTTCCGGTCTGCATGTTACACGTGAGGATTCCGTATGCAATAAAAGCCGCCCCTGCATATAAACATCACTTACTTCGTTCTTGCGTCCAAGGAAGGAACTTCTACAGACTTTACACCGTAAGTAATGATGTGCATGAGCTATCTTGTGATATTTAAAATTATATCTCATTTAAGCTCATTTAAGCTTAAGCAAAGCCCGTTTAATATTGACTCGAATGCAACAATAATTTTCCAGGAATCCAAGAAAGCTCTTTTGCATAGATCTTTTAAAGGCTTCTCTTACATTCCGATACAACAAAACTTGGAGCGATAAATTATATAATAGGATAGCTAAGTTTTGTTGCGAAATGATGAGCTAAAAACATCGAATTGTTCTTGGGATTGCTAGAACAATTGTTTTTAAGTCGTTAACATTGTACTAGTATAAAATAGGGTAATTATCTCTTGTCCTTCTTGTTCTGTTAGCTTCTTTATAGTTTCTTTGCGTTTTTATTGTCTTTTCAGTTTGATACTTTGAACGCTGCACATATAAATCCAATATCGGTTCTGCTAAGTTGAAAACTGACTTTCCAAAATTACATGGTTTTGCATATCAGAGAAGTCGTTTGATATTATACAGTTCAATGATTACGTAACTATGAACGTCGCATCCTTGAAGCCTAAGAAAATAGTTCTTCGAATATTTAAACTTTTGTTTTTGTCGGAATGGAAATTCCATAAGTTATCCGTGGTTCGTGGCTTGCTCAACAAATCAAGACATTTCTTAATTATGAAAATTTCACTGAGAAAATAATCCTCAGGACATTTTATCGAAACTGTTATTTTACTAGTTGGAAAACTAGGAATACTGAACTTTGGACTCTGGGATATTGGAGTCCTATGTTTAACTTGAATTTGAATTAGCAGGCATATGAAATTTTTTCGTTATTTTTTGTTCTTTCTATTTCCTTTTTAATTCTGGTTTGAGTTTTAAGATGTTTTTTTATTATTATTATTATTATTATTTTCTTCCCAGTTAAGTCTCTCTTTTTCCACAGGAAACCCAATTAAGCTATTATTTCTATTGTATTTATTTCAGAACATGAATATTCTTACAGTGTGCATCCTTGTGTGTGTTGCTGGTGCAGCATATTCACTTCCAGTCTATGAGGATCCTCCGCTACCACCTTTCTGTAATAAACTAGAATGTCCTCGGTTCACGGTTAAGAGAAAAACAGCAGATTATGAAGAAAGATGTTATGAGGCTTACAAGTGGGCCTCAACTAATGTTGCAGGTATGTCATGATTGTTGATGGTCTCTCTACCTTTCTGACTGTCTTTTGTCATCCTGTTTGTCTATCTGTAAATAAGTGTAACAAATTGGTCTGTCTGTCTGTCACTTGGTTGCTTGTGTCTGTTTGTCTGTAGTCACATGATTGCTTGTGTAACTATATGTCAGCTAACAGCATGGATACTTGTGTCTGTCAGTCAACAGCATGGTTGGCTTGTGTCTGTTTGTCTGTAGTCACATGATTGCTTGTGTAACTAATATGTCGGTAAACAGCATGGATACTTGTGTCTGTCAGTCAACAGCATGGTTGCTTGTATCTGTCTGTCTGTCAGTCACATGGTTGCTTGTGTCTGTCTGTGTGTCTGTCAGTAACAGGGTTGTTTCTGTCTTTCTGTCTGTCAACAGCATGGTACTTGTGTCTGTCTGCCAGTAACATGATTGCTTTTGTCTGTTTGTGTGTCTGTCAGTAACATGGTTGCTTCTGTCTGTCTTTCTGTCTGTCAACAGCATGGTACTTGTGTGTGTCTGTCAGTAACATGATTGCTTTTGTCTGTTTGTGTGTGTGTCTGTCAGTAACATGGTTGCTTCTGTCTGTCTTTCTGTCTGTCAACAGCATG